TTTCAGAGTTGCAGTTTTATTAAAGATCGTATAACAAAGGAACAACACTTCAGTGTGACTCAGATACCATCATTATTATATAAATAGCCCTAAATGGAAGATCTGAGTAGCTGATTTCTTCAAAGATAATGATCTGCATTAAACCACATTTTACAAACACCTCCCAGCGACCCAGATAACTTAGCAATAGCTCTATCTGTTGGGGAGTAAGAACCTTCAGTAAGTAAATGAGTGAAAAGCCAACCATTTCCTGAAGACTCTATGTGAGGGAGGAGCACTGGCCTGGGAGTCAGGGTACCTGACTTAATCCTAAATTTGTCATTAAATGGCCAGAATCTCAGTTTCCTCACACATGAAATATGGAAGTTGACTTAGAGTTTTTCTCCACTCTAGGATCCTACAATTGTACTAGGGAGCACTGGTGGACTAGTGGTAAGATGCTGTGCTGCAATTCCAAAGGCATGCGGTTTTAATCTACCAGCTGCTCCGTGGGAGAAGGATGGGCAATCTCCTCCTGTGTGATTTATTGCATCTGAAAATCTGCTGGAGGGTCAGCCATGAATTGATTCAAATGTGATGGGACACAACAACATGATTCTATTATGAGGAAAACAGAACATATTCTATATTTTGCACCAAATCCATTTACTTTCTATAAAGCCCAGGTCCTTGGTTTCGGCTTCCCAAGAAAGTGGGTGATTCTCTTTGACTTTAATGCATCTTTATGCTTCTTATTGGATTTGACGAAGAGCATGAACGGCTTAAGGAAAAACACCAAGTCACTTTTTTGCCCAATGTCCAAGCTCCTGATGTCAATCCATGTCCCTTGTGCAAACTCACATCTAGATATTTCTGTGTTTAGTGGATCATTCCAGTTTTCAATCCCTATTATACAGATGGAGAAAAGGAAAGACAGAAGATAAAACTATTTGCTCAATGCTTCTGGGTTGGAGGTGAACATAACTTGACCTTAATTCACCCACAAAGTAAAAAATCTTATCTCAGGCTCAGGCCACATCCTTCTGAAACCCCTTCTTCTGCTGTGCCTTTCATGTTGCTCATATGAGCCGCAAGTGCCAGAAGAGTGCTCTCTCATTTGAACAGCAACAAAGGGCGGGGGGGACATATCACACAGCTCACAAACTTTTTTCATCTGCCCACTTCTCTCCCAGTCAAAGAAGCCTCCACTGCACCCTGGCAGATACTGAATGAAACACTTAGGTACCCCCACTGCCTGTACATGGGCGGACATGCAGGTCCTTTGGAAGAGGGGACAAGTGGAAGGGGGACAGGGCAGCCAAGCATTCATCACACTAAACCCTCATATTCTTAAAGAGTGGCCAGAAGGCAAATAGCATCAGCATTCTTCCTTACGTTTTAACAAGATTCCCATGTGATTTGTATACATAGTAAAATTTGAGAAGAACTACTGTTGGCAGGAGAATCATTACATAGCTTCCACATTATATCATTATGTTGCTGTGTACTGTCAAGTCAGAACCGAACCATAGCTGACCCTCTGGTGAATTTTCAGAGGCAGTTAATCGCATGGGAGGAGATTGTCCATCCTTCTTCCACAGAGCAGCTGGTGGCCTCAAACAACATGCCTTCAGGATTGCAGCACAGCTTCTTGCCACCAGACCACCAGAGCTCCCTATATCATTATATACATGTTTTTGGTTTTTTATCTTTTAATTTAATTTTATTTTATTGAGTGAAAGTTTACAAATAAGGTTTTGTTTCCATTCACTCATTCATAGATACTATTTCACTTCCTGAGTGATTGAGTTCATTTTTTTTAAACTTGCTTTGCTTATTTTTTTACACTATTTTTAATTGATTTGTTTACAAAGTGTGTATACATTGTGTTTCACACTATTCTTCATTCACACTGTTTAATGCAATCATTTTCATGCATCATGTTTTATAAAATCAGTCACTATTGGACCTTGCCCATCCTTGAAACTATAAATAAAGAGGTACAAGAACTAAAAAAAATCCTTATACGATAGAGAAGGTACTGCCAACATAGTACTGGAAATAACAGAAATGCAAGAAAATGCAATCAAGAATATTAAGACTAAAATGGCAGAAGTGTCCAACATTCTTGAAGGATAAAAAAAGTAGAACAGAAGAGATAAATGTATTTTATGGGAACACAATTCAATCCTTGATAATTTATGTTTAGAGAGGGGAAGCAAAATAAGGGTGTATCACAAGTCCAGAACAGATGATGAACTATTGGTCTGCATGTATTACTCTCTGCACTGGTTATTGTGCAGTGGGGCCACTTACGAAGAGAAGTGTATTATCCAGAAGGTAATGACTACCTTGATTCATTCTTCATAACATCTCTCTTCATTGCGTTGAAATCCCACAAATAGAATCAAGGATTCTATTAGAATCTCTTCTAAGAAATAGAAGCTCTTCTGGAAGAGTGACAAATGCTTTGTAGTCTCATGGTGGTGGTGTTATTTGCTTTCGAGTCAACTATGACCAACAGTGACCCTGTGAACAGCTCTGAACCCTGTCCCATCCTGAGACAACCTGTCCCTGGGACACCTGCCCCCATTGCCACAGTCACTGTGCCAATCCATCTCACCCAGGGTCTTCCTCTCCTGCGCTGTCCCTCCACCCTTCCAAGCATGATGTCCTTCTCCAAGGACTGGTCTCTCCTGGGAACATGCCCAATGTATGTGAAACAGAGCTTCAAAATTCTTGCTGATGTTGTTATGTACTGTCAATCAGAAGTATCCCCCTAAAAGACACTACAGCAGGTTTTAAAAAATGGTAAATTGCAAAGGAAGAGATTATCCATCTTTCTCCCATGAGGCACCTACCTTGTGGATTCAAACTGCATGCTTTTATGTTGACAGCACAACTACTTACCAAAACGACACCAGAGATAAAAGAAGAGATTAGATGTCAGGAGTTGATTTGCTGTTTTTCCATGGCTAAGTCATTCTTACCAATTATGAAATGAGAAGTACAAATGCCTGGATACAATGAGATGGAAAAGTCTCTAACAGTCCCTCAGAGGAAATAAAAAGTGAAAGAAGAGTTCCCTTACCCTCACACTCACTCACCATCCTCACCACATTTGCCCTGTGATGTGGTCTGGAAGAATCTATTGTCTCAGTTGTCATCACTAATATTTTCAATATGCAAATCAAAACTTCCAAAGGGTGTTGCCTTTCAGGTGAAAAAGGAACTCTCGTGAGGGGGAAAAAGTCCATAAATATCCAAAGGAAAAATGTACCAATGATAGTATATCCAGCACAGCGATGGAGACACAGTATACGAAGGAAACAGAAATCTTTTATAAAGGGTTCCTGCCTGTGTCTTTCAAATTACTAGCTGTATTAATTTCCTAGAGCTATAGTAACAAAGAAACTAAAATTTATTCTATCACAGTTTTAGTGTCTGTGCTAGTTGTCATTGAGCTAATTCTAAGGCATGGTGACCTCATGTGTGTGAGAGTAGAATTATACTCAGAGGATTTTCAAGGCTGTAACAAGCCATATATTTTCCAAGGCAACTTTGGGTGGGCTCCAATCACCAACTTTTCAATTAATGTCTGAGCACTTAACTGCTTGTGTCAACCAAGGACACTGTTCCTGTTGTTAGATACCATCGAGTCAACAGATGAACAACAGATCTGAGCCCTCCCCTCCCCTGTGCCATTGTTACAACATCTGGTATACTTAGGGCCATTATTATCACTGTGTCCTTCCATCTCATTGAGAGACTTCTACTTCTTCACTGACCCTCAAAGACTGGTCCCTCCTAACAAAGTGCCCAAAATTTGTGAGATGAAGATTCACCATCCTTGCTTCTAAGTATGTTAGCCTGCTCTTCTTCCAAAATAAATGTGATTCTTTTGTCTGTCCCTGGATTAGTCTGTACTCCAACACTACAACTCAGTTTTTCTTCTTCATCCTTACTCATTGTCCAACTCTCAGATCACGGTGTGGATCAGGTGCACCTTAGTCTTTAAAGTGATACCCTTGATATTCAGCACTTTGGGAATGGCCCTCAAAATAGACTTTGCCAATTCAACAAATCTCTTCATTTCCTGACTGCTGATGTGGATCCAAGTAAGAGGAAATAATTGACAATGTCTATCTCTTCTCCATTTATCATGATGCTGCCTAATGGTCCAGGAGTAAGGATTTTTGTTTTCTTGATGTTGATGTGTAATCCATATTGAAGGCTGTAGATTTTAGCCTTGTGCTGCAAGTGTTTCAAGTCCTCTTCACTTTCAGCAAGCAAGGTTTTGTTGTCTGCATGATTTAGGTTGTTGATAAATGTTCCTAAACCTGATGCCACATCCTTCTTCATAAAGTCCAACTTCTTGAATGATTTGCTCAGCATAAGGATCGAAAAGGTATGGAGCAGGGACACAGCCCTGATGCACACTTTCTTGGTCTTCATACTGTTCCCTTGCTCTGTTCAGACAACATTTTCTTGGTCTAGGTTTTAAGTTTTGTACAATTAAGCGTTCTGGGATTCCCATTCATCTCAATGTTAGGCATAACTTGTTATGATCCATACAGTCAAATGATTTTGCAAAGGAGGTGAAGTGTTCAAAATCAAGACATAAGCAAAGCCACATTCTTTGAAGCCTCTAGGGGAAGAATTTTCCTTGTCTGTTTCAGTTTCTGGTGGCTCCTGGCAGTCCTTGGAGTTCCTTAGCTTGTAGATACATCACTCCAATCTCTACTTTGGCTTTCCTGCTGTGTCTGGGTCTTTTTGTCATGTCACTATTCACACTGATTTAGGACTCACCCTGCTCTTATGTGGCCTCATGTTAACAGAAACGTCTTCAAAGACTCTACTTGCAAATATGGACATATTCACAACATCCAGGACTTAGGACTTCAGCATGTCTTTTAAGGGGGATTTAAGTTAACCCATAACATCACCCATGGCATAAGTCTGAAACAAGATATGAGACAGCTTTCAACATCAGAAGAGCTCAGTTTAACTCTCCACTGGGCATGTCGCAGGCTCAAGGCTATAGAATTTTCAAGGTAAATGGTAATCGTTGCCTCTCTCTCTTTCCTTCCACTCATACAAAAGGAACAAAAGTTAAAAGAGCTACATCAATGTAGCTCTCAGTCTACAGAAAAATCCCTCATCCTGAAGGTCCACCTTTTTAAACTCTGAGTAGTTACCCCAATTTCTGAATATATAAAAGTAGCTGAACATTATTTCTCCACCCCAAGTGCAGTAGGAATTCTATATATTTTCAGTTGAGAATATGCTTGGAAGGGTGGGGCGACAGCCCAGGAGAAGATGACCCTGCATGAGATGGATTGACAGGATGACTGGAGCAATGAGATTAGGTGTATCAGAGTCAGGGAGACTGGCTCAGAATAGGGCAGGATTCGGAGCTCTTACACAAATGAGGTATGTTAAAAAGTCAAGTCTTTGGTAAAAGCAAGACATTGTTCAAAAAAGTTGGAGCAAGGGTGAAGGGAGAGAAAACTTCCATTAGCTGCACTAGAAGAACAGAATTTAGAGAGGTTTTTAGTGAATAAAACTAGACAATGACATAATTGCTGTGCTGTGAAAAACACAAGGATGAAATAGGGAAAAAGGATTTACTGATATTAAAATGGAATTTTCCTTTGTCACTGCTCTGAAAGTCTTCCTATTAGACTAATAGGAACAAACCTCCACGGCTACATTTCCTTTACACTCTTCCGCCTCTTGCTCTCATGACCTGACTCTCAGAATTATTATTGACAAGACATTCCAAGGAAAAGGACAGTGGCCAAATTGCTCACTAGTTCTTGACTCTTTACTTAGACATTTCAGGCAAGAACTAGACGGCACCTAGCAACCACTGCTCACTGCTCTAAAAGGGATCACACTCAAGAGTCCTACACAGAACCAGAGAAAAATGTGGAACAAAACTCAAAAGATAAAGTTAGTCAAGCTGACCAGTCTGATGGAGACTTGTGGAAATGCAGAGACAATGACCCTTAAGTCATCCTTTAAGCCTAAAACTAAACTCACCCCTAGAGCTCAACTTCCAGCCCAATAAGAGGATGACAAGGTGACTAAGAAGGCACTCGGCTGTTAGAACTGCCAACCATATAAGATCATGAGGGCAGTATTTTCCTAAAGGTAATGGATTGAAGCTCAACATCAATAAAACAAAGATTCTCACCACTGGGCCAATTGGCAGCATCAGTATGGATGGTGAAGAGACTGAGATAGTTGACAGTTTTAGTTTACTTGGCTCCACAGTCAACACTCTTGGTAACAGCATCCAGGAAATCAAGAGA